TGTGCTTTCTCAATGTATAAAGAAAAGCTCGAGTTACAAACTTGATTCTTATGGAAAATGAACATTGTTCGTTTGTCTCACGATAGAGTCACTTTTGATGTAGATCGCGACCAGTTTCGTATGCATTACTGCTATTCTTCATCAGGCGATGAGCTCGATTGTTTACCTGTCGCTATTTGATTCTTAAGATTGGTATTCCCGGAGAATAAGTGTCAAAAACTTTCTGTTTTGAGCTTTCAATCTGTTAGGAAATATAAATTATCTGAAGAAGCATCTATCACACGGTTTTACTGCTTAACTGATAGAATGCACTCTTTATATTACAACTGATGACACTGAACATACAGTGTACATCGTAGGGATCAAGTTTAACAGAAAGTTTCACTACAACCCACAAGAGAACTTGACTAATTTCCGTAAGAGGTCGTATTCATTGGTTGCGGCATAGTTACTGACCTGAATATAGTTTTTCCTTTCTTGTGAAGTTATAAGTCTTATCTGTTGCGAAAGATTTCCTAAAGGGAAATCCGAAGGAAGCTAGAGTACCCTGTAACGTAAATATTGTATCCTATGGTACCATAGTTCTGTCATGGCTAGTTCCCTGTCTTTCCCGCATCACGGAATCGGTAAAGCTTAGCATCAAACGATATCGCCTCATATCGTTTATGATTTTACGATTAACTTCTCCAAATCGTATTTTCTAATAAAAACTGCATCGTCTTGTACTGAGAATCACGACACAACCACAAAACACTTCTCCTCTTTTCACTGCTTAATTAAGAAGCACGTTAGAGTAATTTTCGTTGCCAAATTCATTTATTTGGACAAACTAAATGTTGCGTTCCTATGACATAGTTGTAAAACTTAGAGGAGGAATTTAATAAGTACTCAGGATTTGTTTTCAGTCACACCAATAATGGATAATCTCGGTTTTTAGAGACCAAAGTCTCAGCGATACTGGAACACCTAGAAATATTTCCGTCAGGTATCCCATCAGAAGGAATGGTAAACAGGCCAATGGCACGAAATTGAAAAGACATTTCAACATTGAATAACTAATTTTAGAATACAATTCAACCTCACAGCAAAAACGTTCACAGAAACTGTTGAAAATTCAAGACGCAGGACAA